CTGCCTATTCCAGGAAGGCTGCCCACGGGCCAGGCCCCAGGGCCCCGATAGGCTTGCCTGCCCCTGCCTGGGTTCGAGGTGCACTCACCCCACCCCCACCCCGCCAAAAGCTGAGCTCTTGGGCCACACACCGCCTTGCTTCCTGGGCTGCCCAGAGCACAAAGACACTTAGAGCCCTCGCTCCACACACCTCCCCAGTGCCTTCTGCCTAAGCTGTGGTGTAGCACTTGCCTCTCAGGACTCAGTTCCTCACCTGACAGAGGAGATAAAACCCCTCACTCCCTCCGTTGCCTACTCCAGCAGTGACCTCGCCTCCTGACCATAGAATCTTTACAGAAACACGCCCATGGAAAGAGCCAGTGCCCTGGGCCTCTGCCCCACCAGGCACAGGATGAGGTGTTGAGGCCACAGCAAGTCAGGGGTCCCTACGCAGCTTGTGCGAGGGGGAGGACAGACATGTGATTAGTAAGCTACAGGAGAAAAAGACATGCCACGCAGGCAGGGGAGGGTGGCAGGCAGCAAAGCTTACGAGGAAAATGCAGACTTGGAGACCCAACAGCAGAGCAGGAACCAAGCTCCACCTTGGAGGAGCTGTACGACCTTGGACTTGTTCATTAACCTCCCTTGGCCTCGGCCTCCTGCCAAATGGATGGACTGGTAATGTCATCCAGCCCTCAGGCATTCACACGGAGTACTGCATACAGCAAGGGCCATCCCCCGGCTCACGCCACCACCTCCAGTCACAGAGGGTCAGTAGCTTGAGAAAGGTGGACATAAACAGCACCAGGGAACATCCTTCAAGTCCCAGGGCCTCACTTCCTGTCAGCCTCCACAGCAGCTCTTCTCCCTCACTGCCCTGCTGCACAGAAGGCTGACCCTGACAAGGGGCTGCGGAAGTGCTGGCCTGGTCCCCAGCCCCAGCCTGCTGCCCCCATACCTCTGACCCAGGAAACTGAGCAGTGGCTCCCAGGAGTCTGGGTGTTTCAAAAATAGGCCTCTGTCCCATTAGCCCAGGTCCCCATTAATGCAGCGCCTCCAGACTTCAAAGGCTTCTGCTTCTCTAACCAGATGGAGCTGTGGGAGGCATGTGTGGGAGGTCGGGGCAGGGCCAGGCAGACAGCAGGCAGGGCCCACTTGGCAGCCTGGTCTCCGCCCTGGGACTTGAAGGATGTTCCCTGGTGCTGTTTATGTCCAGATATATTACAGAGGAAAGGAGTCAGAGCCCAGTAGCAGCAGGGGACCAGGGACCAGGAAACACACCTGAGAACAGGGGGTACCTGCAATAAAGACCTTAGTACACCCCTTCCCCTCAGGCTCTGATGCAGGGAACCCCTCCAGGGGTCACTGTGATGGCAGACAGAGGGACAGAGGCCAAGAGAGAAGGGGTACAGCAGTGAGCCAAGTACCAGCAATGGCAGGAAGGGGGGGCTCAAAGCAGGGCTGATGGGTAGAAGGGAGGCTGCCACCGGGGCTGGCTCAGGACAGACACCGTGGACTCCTGCCTGAGGATCCCTGAAGAGGAGACCTCACCTGGGACACAAGCCAGGAGGGGACCACAGGCAAAGAGCAGGCAGGGCCAGGAGAGCACCATGCCTTTCAGATGGGCAAGTCGGCAGGCTGGTCCACAGCGGCTGAGGGGGATGAGGGGCGAGGCTGAGGGAGGATGGGCCAGGTCCTGGGGGGCTTCAGAGCCAGACTGGGGTCCACATATGATGCTGGAGGAGGAAGAGCCTGGGATCCTCCGGCCTTTTCCCCAGAGCTAGGTCACCATCTGTACCCCATCCTGTCCACATGGACGGCTGGGGTTTATCTCCTAGCCATGCACCCCACCTGTATACAGAAAATGCCTATGAAAACAGATCTGTTAGTGAAGACAGCCATGGAAGCAGGACATTTCCATCCCGTGTCAGGGAAAAATGCCACCAAGAAGGATGGAGCTCTGGTCCAAGGCTCCCCACCTCACCTCATGGCCCACTTCCTTCCAGAAAGGCTCCCAGGGAAAGCAGGGAATGGAGGGCTCTTCAACCGAGTGGGTCTACACTCAGAGTTGAGCAATGCCCTAGGCATGATGTGCTGGGTTGTGAAATCTGTGGGCGGCAGCAGGTAGAGCTGGATGCCTATGGCTGGCCAGGGTGGGGGGTGCTGTGGCACCCTCCTGTTAGGATAGAGGGCCATTGCATCAAGAGGGACTGGCTGGATTCCCTTCATATACAGGCTGCAGGAGCTCCAGCCACTGCTGACAGCCTCCCAGTCAAACCGTTGTCTCAGATACCTGGGAAGCATTTTTTATGCATCGGGAGCCTCCCATTAACCTACCTGGGCAATGTTATCAGCCAGATTTTATGGATAAGAAAACCAAGGAACAGAGAAAATGATTAATTTAAGTAAGGACACAGGACACCAGGGAGGCCCTTCTACCCAGCCCAGGCCATCATCACCTCCCAGGTTTCCCAGGGACATCCAGTCTCCCACCCAAGGCAGAGAACCCCATGGCACGGAAAATGCCAAATGCCCAGGCAGTGTGCAGCTCATTTGATCCTTGCAACCATTCCATGCACAGCACGGTCAGGAAGCCCATGCTGCGGATGCAAGGATCAGGCTCCCACCTTGCCTTGACTGTCTCACCCCTGCCCCAGGAGGCAGAGGGAACAGGAACCCAGACCACCAGACCAGGGAGTGTGCTCTGTGCCAGAGGTGGGGGTGGACCGTGACCTCCAGATGGCCCTGGCTCTCTGGGATCCTTCAGATGCAGACTCACTCCCGGCTCCTAGCTGCACAGGTCTGTTTAGTGCAGTGAGAGCCTCGCTCCTGACCCAGGAGAGTCTGGAATGGGCTACTCTGATGACCAGTGTGCTGTGTCCTGGGGAACCCCAGACTTTCTCGGGAAGACAAGAGAGGGGATGCTGCTGTCACCTTAATTGAATGAGCTCCACATCCTCTTCCTCCAGCACAGGAGCAGCAGAGACAGGCAGCACGGATGGGTGGGCCACACAGCCCCCCAGGATGAACCCAGCAATGGCAGAATGGCAAGAATGACAGGCTCGGTGGTGGGAACAGTTCCCGCCTTGCTAACACAGGGCCCTCAGCCATCCTGAAGTGGGCCTAGCAACAAAGTCAGGCCAGGCGCAGGGGGCCTGTGTAGAGGAACTTGATCCTTATCAGCCAGTGAGGACGCCCATCTCCTGGTCCCTCTTAGCTTCCAAAGACAAGATGTGGCGTCCTGACCCCCCTCCAGACCTTAAACATGACAGCTCCCCATACACAGGTGTTCATACATAGATGGACACCCAAAAACTGACTATCTGGGAGCTCCAGATAAAACTGCGCCCCCAGGTCTCCCCCATGTAAATTGGGAGCAAATGACATCTATCGCATAGGGCATTAGGGGAGACCACGTATGGGTCAGACTAATAGTTACAAACTGTAATGGGGGATGAGGGTGCACATTTCTCAAGGGACATCACATTGGTGGCCTCTGTCTTCCTGTGCAGAAGCATCTCTGGCCTGTCACTCCTGCCCCGTCCCGCCTCTCCTGCCTAAGCTCTCCTGGCACCCACCTCCAAACCCATAACCCCTAGACCTCCTCCTGCACAGAGACTCTTCCTCACTCCACCTCAGAAATCAGCTGCTAGGACACAGCCACCTCCTTTCACAGAGACACTGCTGGCAGCCACGCCTTCGTTGCTGAGGCCCAGAATTCCCAACAATCAGAAAGCCCCCCACCCTACAGCCACACCCTGCAGCAAGAGCTACAGGAAAACCCCAGGAGACCCTCTGGCGAGGGGAAGCTGCCCAGCCAGGTCAGAACTGTGCTATGCTCACAACGGACCCCCCCAACCCAAAGACACCCCACTTCCTGCAGGGCACTGCAGACTTCCTCTCAAACGCCCGCTTGTTATTTAAGTTGTCCACTAGCCTTGCCTGAGACAATAATACTTTCATTATGGATTTTATGACGTTCGCAGATTTTTTTCTAAGGCACGCTAAAACTAACTTTCACAATTTAAATGTGCTCATCCAGTGTGGGTTGGGAGCCCTGCAGAAGCCCTAGCCCGCTCTGAGACACGAAGGGCTGGCCCACCCCTCACACGGTCGGCCTATACATCTGTGGCTGAGCTGGTGACAGTCATGGACACACAGCCCTTCCAGGCAGGGCCAGCCACACCACATTCTGCCATGCAGGCCTGGAAGCCAGGGGCCTGCTGCAGCCCCACACGCAGGCCCTTTGCCGCCTCCTCTGGGCCTGGCTGGGGAGGAAGGCCCAGTCCCTGCTATCCCTGCGGCTAAACCCAACATAAGGTGGAGAGGAGGCACCTGCTTCGCGCTGTGACTGCACATGTATTTAGAAGTGCACACAGAAGATCCAGAAGAGCCCTCCACAGCACCCGCCTTCGTCCAGGGCCACGGCTCCCTCCAGGGAATGGGCGGAAGGGCACTGTCCCCCTTCCCTGGGCAGCTGCTGTCTCTGTCCTCTTTAAAGGTTTAATATTCTTTTCTCTTATTTGTGGCTCCGGAGACAGAACCCAGGCCTAAAACCCTAGCACACGCGCTAGGAAGTTCTCCACCTCTGAACTATACCTCCAGGCCCCACTTGCAGAGTTTTATTTTGTTTTGTTTTTTAATTTGTTGTTTTATCTAATAACATAAATTCCCTCACCAATTTTTTTCCCTTTCTATGAGAAAAGTAAAGTGTACTTGTAAATGTAAAATGTGGACCTCTGAGTGCCTGTGGTTCCCAGAATTCTAGGTAGAAGCAGCCAAACGAACAACACTGCGGTCACAACGGCACTTTCCTGTCAGACTGGGAAAGCCAGTGACAAGTTCTCTCTGGTCCCCCATCAAGGAGCTGCCCCTCCCCGCTGTCTGCCCAGAAAGCCCCACATCCCCCCTCGTGCCAGGCCCAACGGGCCTCTCAGGCGGCTGAGCCAGGGCCTCTCCACTCCTGTCCCCTCAGGCCCGGCTGCGTGACAGGTGCCACCCCATGCCCACACCCACCTTACCTGGCTCTCCTGGGACCCCTCAGCTGCCGGGCCAGTCTCTGAGTCTGCAGGGAGGTGCCGCAGCCCTGCCTGCCTGCAGCAGACGTGTCCAATCTCACACATGTGGAGATTCCCCCAACTGTCTACCTAATGAGCGTGACTCACATCTGGGACCCACCACTTCCTGCTCTGGCGGCTCAGCTACCGCTGGGCCCTCAACTCAGCGCCTCTTCTCTCCTGCTAGCTTGCTCGGGGTGTGAGGGGCCCCTCTCCAATTAGGGGAGCCACTAGGCCAGGCGTCTAGCTCCAATGACTTCATGGAAATTTGAAGCATGAAACTGGAATGATTTTGAAAAAAAAATAATAAAACAAGAACCAAAAACCTCCATTACAGGCCCCTAGAGGACTGCTTCAAGCAGGGAGCAAATGCATCCTTAATAAGCAATTAGAGGCAGACAGTCTGGCATGGCGCCTTGGCCCAGCTATGCACTCTCAGACAGCCCCTCTCCTCTCCCTGGAACTTGGTTTCTCCATCCAGGTCACAAGGCAGCCCAAAAGATGGCCTGGAAGTCATAGGTTTTTGGCCCAATCCACTGCCTCTCCATTTCACGCCTGCCCCCAGCCAGGGCTCCAGCTTGGAGTTTTTATTTTTTATTTATTTATTTATTTGTCTTTTTCCTTTTTATTGGTACCGGGGATCGAACTCACGACTGCCTGCTTGCAATTGGAGTTTTTATTCTAAACAGTTGAAGCCCCTGGAACCTAGCACCCCAGATCATGAGGCCGGGAATCCAGCACCAGCTCCCCTTCTATTTTGCTGAAGTCACGGGGAGCTCAGCAGGGAGAGCAAACCGGGACAGGCTGGAAACTGCCAAGACAGAAGAGGAAGCCTCGGCCTGGCTGGGGTGGCACAGCCTCTGAGCAGGTGGCCTGGGTCCTGGTGTCCAATTCTTTTTTCCTTCCTTTTCTTCCTGTGCCTTCTTTCCTTTCTGTCTCCTCTGCTCCCTCTCACCTACTCTCCCTGCCTTCATTATCTTCTTTCTTCCTTCCCTCCCAAGACACAGTCTTGCTATATAGCTTAATCCAGGCTGGCCTTGAACTTGCTATCAGCTCGGGCAGGCCTCAAACTCAAGACCCTCCGTCCCCTCCTAGGTTTACAGTCAGTCATTGCTATTCAAGGTCTTGCAGTCTCTGCACTCTCTCCCCTCACAGTTCCCTTGCTACCCTGCCTTCTTAGAGAGTGGCTGCACCATCAGGAGCTGTGTCCCAGATGCCCAGTGCCAGCAAGCCACAGAATGGGCATCTAGACTGAACACAGTGGGTATGCTTTTGGTGCCAAGCTCCATACTGGGGCTTAACAGGGCTTAAATCCAACATCTGATTTAGAGAGGCATAGGAGTCACACAGGGTTCTAGCCCGCTGCAGAAGCCACAGCAGGGAGGGAGTGGGGCCCTCCTGGAGCTTGGTCACTTAGTCTCTCCTTAAGGCACAGTCTCCTGGTCCTAGGTATCCAAAGCAGGGAGGGAACAGACATCACTGAGAGGGGATAAGGCGAGCCACAGACAAGAAGAAGATATTCAAACACACACCACTGACAAGACTCCTCTCCAGAATATATAAAGATCACCCACAAATCAATAAGAAAAGAAAAAAGCCAGTCCAACTAAAAGATGGACAACAGCTGGACACAGCTTCAAGGGGACCACTAGTGCCCCGAGTTTTCAGGCCAACCAAGGAAACACAGCAAGGCTGTGTCTCAAACAAACAAAAAAGATGTGCAAAAACTTAAACAAGTACTTCAACCATGCAGATACCAAAAGGATCAATAAACACCTGAAAAAAATACTCAATAGCATTACTTATTAGCAAATTAAAAGCACACCAAGATTCTATCATCCTAGGATAGCTAAATTAAAAGGAAAATGCCAAGTCCTGACAGGGATGCGGAGCGACTTCAGTCCTCAAACGTAGCTGGCTAGAACGCAGAACGGAGCTACCATGTTGAAAAACCATCTGGCCTGTGGACCACAGCTAAACACACACTTGCCCTGCAGCTCAGCCATCCACACTTAAGTGTTTACCCAGAAGTGGGTGTGAATGTCACTGAAAGGCTTGCATCCAAGTGTTCAGTTTTGATCACAACCATCAAACCAGAAACAGTCCAAATGTCCTGCCAGCAGTTAAATGGATAAACAGGTTTTTCACAGATTCACATGCTGGAAAATTACTCAGTAATAAAAAAGAATGGATTACGGTTAAACAAACGCACAAAGATATGGACCAAGGCATCAAGAATGAGAGGACAGACAGCAAAGAGCACATTCATGGGTTCCATTTACACGAAACTTCAGAAAAGACCCATCTTTCAGGCACTGTGGCACATGCCTGTGATCCCAGCACTCAGGGAGGCGGAGGCTGGCGCACTGAAAGTTCAGGCCCTGCCTGGACCACGTAAGAGATTCAGCAAAGGCTTGCCTTAAAATTAAAAAAATTTAAAGCCCTGGGATTTAGATCAGTGTGAAGGCCCTGGGCTCCATCCCCAAGAGGAGGAAAGGACAGGAAGTGGGGAAAGAAAGGAAAGGAGGGAAGGGAGAAGAGAAAGGCAGAAAGGCAGGGGGCCGAGGAGGAAAAGGAGAAGAAAGATCCAGGAGTTACCGTTAGGGAGGCTCCTGACTGGAAGGGACTCAGAGATCTTCTAGAGGCCCAAGAGATTCTGTGGCTCAGTCTGGTGCCAGCAACATGGGTGTGTACAGAAGAAAGCTCGTGACTGTGTTTCCTTAACATTAGTGCAGATGACTGAATGTAAATTATACATCTGTTTCTGATGGGCACTGACCCAGTCTTTTATTCAGTAGGGCATGGTGCTAGGTGCTTAGTACACTGTGGGAAAACACAGTGAGTTGCCTCTGAGCCAGCAGGCAAGAACCCAACCTGAGTTGGCTAAGGCGGGAGTGAGGAGATGAGCTGGTGAGAGGGGCAGGGAGAGAAGAAGGGGCCAGCAGAGGCTGGGGTTGGAGTGATGGGTGGGAGCACAGACGGCCCCAGCAGCAGTGTGTGGTGGCAGCCTGAGGAAGACACAGAGCAGCTGATTGCAGGAGGGTACTCCCCACCGTCAGGCACTCAAGGTGCTCTGGACCACGCATAGCTGACTGCACAGCTGTGTGACAGTAAACTGGCCATTCAATAACCGAGGAGCCTCCTTCCCACCTTACACCTCGGAGGACACAGTGGTCACATGTTCCCTGACACACGCCACACCTTGCCCAGGCCCCAGTGCACCCAATACCCTATGCCTCACACCCGCCATGGGTCGGCTTTGCAGAGCTAGCACTCCTGCGCTCAGTGTGCATGGTGCACTGAGACCTCACATGTGCAGACTGTGGTGACTCCCCATCCACGCTGCCATCTCCTCTATAGAAAAGGAAGCTGAGGCTCAGGGGGACCCAGTCACTTGCTCAAGCACATGCTGTTAAGAAAGGCCGAGTCAGGATTTAGTCTCACCTCTACCTGACTCCATGGCCTGACCTGAGGTCTTCACGTACTTGAGCCCTCTGTGGGAGTGGGAAGGGTCTGTCCCCTAGCTCGCCAAGTCCTGGCATGTTGTTCTCCCCAGTTTTCTGAGCAAACTCTCCATCTTTCCTTTTGGTTTATTGAGACAGGATCTCACTATGTAGTTCAGGCTGGCCTTGAACCCACTATGTAGCCTAGGCTGGACCTGAACTCAAGGAGATCCTTCTGCCTCAGCCTCCTGAATTCTGGGATTACAGGCATGCACCACCATGCCTGGCTTCCATCTCTCCTTGATCTCCCTGGAAGGAGGTGGCCTCAGGGTTTGAAAGCATCTGGGACAGGGAATACGGGGCTCTGCATGCTCTAGGCCCCCGATCCTTTCCTGACTCAGGAAATGACTCCACCCTCCTCCCTGGGGCCAAGGACCCAAAAGTGATTTGAAAACAACGAACAGTCATGCAGTGTCTTGGGCTGGGAACAAGGTCTCACCAACATATGGAACTAGCTCAGGGAAGCAGACCTCCTCCTGCTGAGAGAGGAACAGAACTGCAGCAAAAGCAAGGTGGACAACACTGTCAGTCAGTCAAGGGACAAATGCTACACACCGAGCGCACAGCCCAGGCCCCAGCACAGACACAGAGGTGGAGCTCTGGTCCCACCAGAAGAAGCCAAACTTAGGGCATGTTTCAAACTTTCTGCAGGGGCTGGGGTGTAAGGAGGGAGGTGTTTCCCGCCCCAGCCAAGGGGTCTCTGCAGCTCACGGCACAGGGATCTGTGCACACGGGGACAGACGTCAATTCTTCCAGGAAACCTTCCTGGTGGCCCAGCACCCCTGACTCCAGTGGCCTTTCTGTAGAGAACACACGGTGTGAACCTCTTTCTGTAGCAGGCATGGGAAGCAGCCCCAGCCCTCCAGGGACAGGCAGAGAGGAATGGGCACAGGGCTGATGGTGGGCCACTGAGAAAGCTCGGGGCTTTTATTGTGACTATGTGGGAGAAGAGCTCTCCTTGGTTCCTCAAAAAACTGAAAATGCAACTACCATTAACCTAGCTGTACCACTCCTGGGTGTATTCCCAAAATAACGAAAGTTACACCACAGGGACACCTGCATACCTAGGTTCACTGAGGCAAAATTCACAATAGCTAAGACAGGGAACCAGCCTGGGTGCCCACCCACAGATGAATGGACAAAGAAAATGTATCACACAAAGCCAAGTGTGGTGGTGCACACCTGTAACCCCAGAAACTCTGGGAGGCTGGGGGGTCAAAAATTGGAGCCAGGCCTGGGCAATTTAACAACTTAGTGATAGCCTGTCTCAGAATAGAACAGTGTTGGGCATAGAGCTCAGTACAAAGGCTCTGGGTTCAATCTCCAGTACCAAAAAAAAAATAAATAAATAAGAGGAGGAAGAAAAGGATGGATGAGAGAAATGCCACATATATGCACAATGGATATTCAGCTATAAAGAAGAATGAAACTGGGCCGGGGATTTAGTTCAGTGGCATAAACGCCTACCTGGCAAGCACAAGGTTGTGAGTTCGATCCCTGCTACCAAAAAAAAAAAAAAGAAGAAGAAGAATGAAATCAAGGAAGCCAATTTGCCCTTCCTGTGAGTTGGCAGAAGCCATGCTGGGCCTGGGAGGAGTAACAAGAAGCCAATTCGCCCTTCCCATGAGCCAGCTGGAGCACAGGCTGGGAGACAGGAGCACCCCACCCACCACCTTACTCTCACTCCCACCCCACACCCTGTAAGCGCCTGGCTGATTTGGAGGACAGGCTGAGTTGATAGCAACTAAGGTACAAAAACAACTTAATCCTTGTATTGTTTGATTGACTTTG